TGGTGGTGAGTCTTGCCCTGTGCCAGTGACACATTTAAGATATAAAGGACACATAAATAGAAAGGAGTTAAACCTGTAGTTGACGACCAGCCTTCAGACTGATAAGAAAGTGTAAGGCCAGCTTGGGGAGGGTATTCAAAGCTTATGGAAGTCTTAACACACTAAGAACAATAGATATAAAGTTAAATTTAAAAAGAAGCTGGTGTAGAGCTTGGTTAGATTGTACAGATTTCCATGAGGCAAGGAGAGCAAATCCTGGACAGTGACTACAGAATAAACTGATTTATTTTGCTTGTGTGCGTAGATAAACATTTTTTTTCCATAAAAAATTATACCAGAGCAACCCCTACTATGAACAGTTACACTAGAACAGTATAAAGGTACCTTATACAGGTGGGGTGCGTCTAGACTGGCCGTTTTTGCACAAAATCTTGTCGCCTGTCTACACTGGCTGCGAGTATTTGCACAAGAACACTGACTTTGTACTGTACAAAATCAGTGGTTCTTGTGCAAATACGCCAACGCTCCCGCTCAGGGATAAGCCCTCTTGCGCAAGTATTCTTGCAGAAGAGGGCCAGTGTAGACAACCAAGTTAATTTCTTGTGCAAGAAAGCCCGATGGCTAAAATGGCCATTGGAGCTTCCTTGCGCAAGAGAGCGTCTACACTCTTTTGCGCAAAGGCACATGCCAGTACAGATGCTCTCTTGCGCAAATACTTTTAACGGAAAAACTTTTCTGTTAAAAGTATTTGCGCAAAATCATGCCAGTTTAGATGCAGCCGTGGTGTTTATTTCTCTTTCTGCACAGAAATAAGCTGTTCTGGTGTAATGACTTCTGCATAGTTACAGTAGTATTGCCAAAGCAATTTAATGATTGTATGTTCACAAGGCAGAATCAGTCACTGAAGTCTGACGTGACCATAGATTTTAGAGTTTAAACTGGACTTAACAAAACTAGCGTGGGCCTTGTGCACAGGGTGAATTTTTATGGCTAGAGAGGGAATGGGGAAGTGGCAACACTGATTAAAAGTAGTTTGCTAAATACTAGACAATAAAATAAAAAGCTGTTAAAACTACAGTGAGAACACAGGACAGAAAGCCAGATGATAATTGAAAACTGATACACTGACAAGCTACTGAAAGCAAAACAAGTATTTCATCCATACATTTTAGGCTACATCACTGCCAATGTTTCACTCCCCACTGTGAAGATACAGGTTTTTTCGCTCAGCATCATGCATTTCAATTTAGTGTGAACCCATTTTTGTCAGTCCTTTGTACTTGGATAAATCTACTTTATTTTGCTCCTAGGTATCACATTCTGGTCTCCAAAGAGTTGATTATTTCTTAACAACATCCTACAGAATCTCTTCCTCCAAAATGGCTATTAGCTACATTCCAATTCTTGAGCCTCCTCTCTCCTGGGTGGCTTCTATGCATTGATCTGTCTCAAATAGATCAGCTTTGCTTCTTGTTTGACTATGGGTCAGATCTCAATCTATTCATTTCTTTCTCCTGGTGGTATTGTTCAATGTATTATCTTTCTTGGAAATCTGGCCTTTATTAATTGACATGCATTGTTACAGAGATGGATTCCTGGCCCCTCTTGCAATCAGTGGCAAAATTCCTATTGATTTCCATAGGGGCGGGATTTCACCTATAATGTTTAGCTGGTGCCAGACCCTAAATGGTCAGGTTTCAGTTGTTCAGTTTACCATTTTAATTAGTCTCACTCCTTGGGGCATCAGTGAGATATTGGACTAGGCTTCCTAGATCATGTATATATGGGAGTTATATTCTGAGCTGGGAGACACCCCTCCTCCCTAATAAAAAAAAGTGTTTAACTCAATAGAGACTCGCAAAAATATAAAATTCCAGGCTCAGTTAGTTGGCTCCACAGATTGCTGTCTCGTTATACACAGGCAGTTAGTTATATTTGCTTCTTCGAAGAATCATGTTTTAAATTTTAACTTTAGTTCATAGACTTAAGACCTGGGCAACAGGTGGAAATCTGAGATGTTAGAACACTTAGGGCACATCTACACAGCAGGGCTAAAATTGAATTAAGCTATACAACTTGAATAACAATTGCATAGCTTAAGTCAAAATAGCTTAATTTGGCTTTTGGCGCTGTCTACACAGCAGAGTTACAGGAGCTGGAGTAAGAAGTCCTATGGTCATTTTTTGACATTATGTTGAAATAACTGCTTGTGTGTAGACGCGTACTTTATTTTGGAATAACATCTGTTATTCTGAACTAACATTGCAGTGTAGACCTACACCCAGTGACTTTAGGTTATCCTTAATGCTGCCTTTCTGCATAGGCCTTTTTTAGATGCTTAAAATTGTATGTAAAACTAATCGGCAATGCCCTCACTTTGGATGATGCCATTGTGTCATCACTGGAACAAACATGTAGCATTAGGCATCATATATATATTTTATATATATATATATATATATATATAGCAGTGTAAGTCTATATGAAATATTACTCTGAAATCCTATGCGTCAATATGTGGATACTGCTAGTTTAAAATCTGCTTATTTCAAAGCTTTTAAATATATTTTATATGTAGAGGAGTTAATTAATGCATCTCTCAGGCTAACCTTATCAGGAGGGTGGGCAAAGGGACAGCTGTCTCAGGGCCCAGTGGTTTAAAGGGGCCCAGAGCTCCTGACTGCTATCATTACTACCTTCGCAATGGCAGTTGCCAGAACCACAGGCCCTTTAAATCACCATCAGAGCCTGGGTAGAGTGGGCAGGGCAGCACAGAAAGGCTGGATGAGGGAGGCTAGCCTCTTCCCCCAGAAGCCCCGCCCTTCCTGGAGCCAATGCCCCCTCACCTGGCCCAGGGACCCAGCATTTTGTCAGCATCCCTGAACCTAATGTGTACGACATGACCAAATTAGGTTCCAAATGTTATACTACGATTTGTATTACATTAATGCCTACATACCCTAACTAAGTTTGGAGCTCTTCTGTGCTATTCAATGTGCATATTCATGGCAAGAGACAGTCAGTCTCTGTCTCAAAAAAGCTTATCCTCTATATAGACAGAAGGATGGGAGAAAGGAAGTATTATCTTCATTTTACAGAAGGGAAACTAAAGCATAAAGGATTAGGTGACTCACCCAAGATCACTCAGCCCGTGGCATTGCCGCGCATTTTCCCTCAGATCTCCTCACAGTCCAGTGCCTGAATCACAAGCTGCACTAATCACTCTAATTATAATATGATAAAATAAATACCTATTTATTTAAAAAAAATTTGGCAGGCTGCTTACAAAAGTTGTTGACCTGATGTTTCTGAGTGCTGGAGTCTTCTCTCTAGGTGCATAACAAATACAGCAGTAGACATCCTTCTGGCTATAGATCCGTGGAGGACAAGGTGAGACAGGATGTTAACTGTGAATAGGTATTTAGGACCAGTTCTGGTGTTCTACTATACTGTATGCTACCCCACACAGTTCTTTCAGGAGGCATCAGACATGATCTACAAGAATCACCCGTGGCAGTGATATGACCTCCGTGATTCTGGATTCAGAGGCCTGTCTGAATACAGTGTTCTCAGAAGCATGGTGCCTTTAAAAAACAGAATCTGAAAACACTGCTATAGTGTAATCACTTGACTTTCTTTATTCTCAAAGATGTTTTTCCTTTACCCTGTTGTCACCTTTATTAAGGATTTAAATTAACATATGGAGGATCTGAAACTCTGCTCATTTAATCCTGTGGTAATCAAATGCAACACTATAGTCGGCTGTAAGTGATGCTCCGAACAGATCCAAAGATCTGCTTCTATGCTTCCCTCTATCAAGAATCAGAGGGTACAGCAAACTCACTGGGGTATGAAAACAACAGAGGTAAGAAATAGTAGCCCAAGAAGCTTTTGTCTAAAAATCAATGAATTGTCAGGTAATTACAGACAGAATGACTGTCTGAGTTCACCCACTGACTTGATTTAACATCAGCAACTGTTTGAATGATGCTCTTCTGTACTAATTGAAGCCCTTGAAGTGTCGCATCAGATAGTATGTTAGAAAGACATCTGTAATAATTCACACTGAGTGTGCCACAGCATACTGTAGTGATGAAGCCCATTGCTGAGCCCTTCTCATTTCCTTACCAAGGAAGCAAAAAAAGTGCTTTTCAAGTCTGATTTAGCCCTATAATTATTCACTATGTTTGGGATGATGCTTAACTTAGAAACTGTAGTGGGCTCAATCCTGTAAACCCTCGAGGGGAACTCCATGAGAGAGGCTTTCAGGTTCAGGCTCATTTGTTTAGAGATAATGGAAAATTCCTCAATGTTTGTTAACCCAATCAGAATGTTTATGGTTTCATGAAAACCTAAGTGAGGACAGGGCTGATTCTGGTTTCCCTCATGCTAGTCAGCTATGGATGTAACTAGGAAGTACTGCCTTCAGTGGTTTTAGCGCCAGCCCACTAAGGCTGTGTCTAGACTGGCAAGTTTTTCTGGAAAATCAGCAGCTTTTCCGGAAAAACTTGCCAGCTCTCTACACTGGCCGCTTGAATTTCCGGATAAGCACTGATGATCTCATGTAAGATCATCAGTGCTTTTCCGGAAATACTATGCTGCTCCCGTTCGGGCAAAAGTCATTTTCTGAAAGACTTTTGCGCAAAAGGGCCAGTATAGACAGCACAGTACTGGTTTCCGCAAAAAAGCCCCAATCGCGAAAATAGTGATCGGGGCTTTTTTGCGGAAAAGCGCATCTAGTTTGGCCACGGACGCTTTTCCGCAAGAAGTGCTTTTGCGGAAAAGCATCCTGCCAATCTAAACGTGCTTTTCTGAAAATGTTTTTAAAGGAAAACTTTTCCGTTAAAAGCATTTTCGGAAAATGTAGACGTAGCCTAAGGGCTTACATGAGTGCATAAGCGCAGATATATTGATTTCAGTGGGATTACTCACATATATACATTTAAGCAGATGGTTAAGTTTTGTTTTGCTTTTGTAGGACTGGCACCTTATACTGTAAGCTCCTGGGAACAGAAACGCCTGCTCATTCGATGTTTGTACAGTGATTAACACTTTGAGGCCACCACCAGGCTGAGGCCTCCAGCAGCTACTTCAATAAAAGCAAGACATAAGAATGAAGAAATTTGGCCTGATCTTAGTGTCCTTAATTTACCATCCTGTAGAAGCAGGTAACCACTGAATAATATTTCTTTGTGCACAAAAATGTTTGTCCATGTAGCATTATTGTCATGCTTCATGCCTCTCTTCTGAAGCCAATTTTATTCTGAGATAAGACTCTTCTATTTTTCCACTGTTCACTTCATTGTTGCAGTGGCTTAATAACACATTTAGCACTTTCTTATGAACTATAATGGCACCCAGCATCATTACCACATTTTGATAGCCCTACATGCAGGGAGTAGGCAGTCCTTAATTTAATATTCAACCTTAATTTAATATTAACCTGTTACTTATTTCTTTGTTTACAGCGAAACCTTAAGCATCTGAAATAGGCATTGGACAAGACCACAAGGGATCAAAGGGAACAAATATTCCTCCTCAGGTTGGAGAATAATAACAGAGCTATTTCAGGGCAGCAGTAATCCCTGTAGCAACTGCAGTTGTCCCTTAAAGAGCAAAATTACTTCCACACATCTTCTTCCCTTACTTCATCATGGTTTATTAGAAAAGAATGTCAACTTTTTTTACCAGCTATTTAGTGCTGAAGAAATCGAAAGCCAATCTACTACTCAAGAATGGGGCAGCCATTCTTTTGCTGAATGGTTTAAGATTTTTGAGATTTATTTGATCAGCAGCATAGAAAGTTTGAAATCATTTACAAATATTCATCTGAAGACTCACTTTTTTGCACAAGTTGAGGCCAAAGACTTTTAAAGTAATATGACTAATGACACAACAGAACATAAGCAGGAGCAAATATGTTTTCAAAAATAGTAAATTTGTTGGAAAATGCATTTTTCAGGACACTGAAAAAATGTGAATTCAGATTCCAAAATTAGTTTCAACCAAAAAAAAATGTGTTTAGAAATCAACAGTATCAGCAATTTGAAAACAAAACATCTTGACTTTTTGTTTCAAAACACTGTTTCATTTAGAAATTTAGTAATTTTTGTAAACATTAAAAAGGATGAACACCCCAAAATATTCCAAATGGTTCCTTTGATCCAAATGGATGGTTGCTGTTTTCTTGAAAAAATGGTAGGGAAACTATTTTTTATTGTTTGGTTTTGACCACCAAATTGACAAATCAATGATTAGTTTAGCTTTAGTATTGAATTGCTATAAATACTCACTGAGTTCAAGCAGGAACACAAGTCTTTCACAAGACTCTTCCTAACTGTACAGATCTTTTGTTTGTTTAACCTAAATAAATCTGTTTTTTTACAGTCACACACATTTTGAACCCACAAGGCATGTGGCCAGTACAAATATGAAGCTGAACACCAAGGAACTGGCTTCAGAGAAGAAATGCTTGCTGTTCACATACTCCAGTAGCCTATGAATCATGATTTGAAAAGCTCTGTTCTGTAAGGTACCGCTTTTATTTATAGTGTTCTACGAGTAAGCTAAGTTCCTGAGTGTTACTGTACTCAGTTTACACATAGATGTGGATTCATCTCCAATTACAATCCAATGCAAGGGGCTGATGTAGCCTTGACTCTTGGAGAAACTGTGCAATGTGTACTAATGTGCTATCTAGTGGGCAATCCCCAAATCCTCAGTTTTCTACTTCTGCTTTGCTATTTGAAATTCCATTGTCTTTCTACCCCAAATGTGTTGACTCTTAGATAAATCTTCCAGAGTCCATTTCTCAGTCTGAGAACTGCTTTCCATGTTATCCACATCTATTTTTTCATGTAACATTTTAGGAGCCAATGTATTGGTTCTGGCCTCTAAGGATATTACTGCTTCAGGTAGTACATTCAGCATCTTCCTGTTATTTGATTCATTCGGAGAAACAGTCTAGAGGATATTTAAAGTGTGCATGTTACACCCATTTGTATTCAGAGTCCACTTACTTAGACTCAATGGCTATGTCTACACTCACGGCTTCTTGCGCAAGAATATCTTACGCAAGAAGTCTTGCACAAGAAAACGTCCACACTGCCATGTGCACACTGTGCTTTTGCACAAGAGCTCCCATGGCAGTGTGGACGCTCTCTTGTGCAAGAAAGCTCTGATGGCCATTTTAGCCATAGGGCTTTCTTGCACAAGAAATCCCTTCCGAGCATCCACACTGCCCTCCTTGCGCAAGAGGGCTTACACCTGTTAAAAAAAGCATAGCTCTTGTGCAAGAAGCCCTCTCTTACCACGCCGTACTGTAAATTTCCTTGCGCAAGAGCGAGCGGGCAGTATAGACGCCAGTCTGTTTTCTCTGTGATGGTTTAATGCAGATACCCAAAAGTGAAGGAAGGCATAAATTAAAGCAATACTGACCTTATTATTCAGCTCCAGGAAACAGTCAGTGTGTAAGGGAGTTTAGGGGCCAAATTATGACTCTAGCACTCTTGCATGGGCAATAAGTCAAAAGGAGTCTTAAGTTTGTAAGAACTGTAGTCCTATACAGGCTACCTGGTACTGGGTCCATGTGCCCAGATGTAAGCGGGACTACCAGAGGTGAAAGTAAGTGGGTGCGCCATGGTACACAGTTCTGGCAAGAGCTGGCTGAGCTGTAGCAAAAGCCAACAGGAGCTATTTAAAAAGCAGGCAGGAATCTAGGTTGCAATAGGACAATACCTGTAAGACATTTTAAGTTATTTTCACCAGTGAGGAATCACATAGCTACATCCTCCTCAGAGCAAGTCAGCAATAATCTGCAAGGCCTCGTCTCCAGCTCCCCACTAATCTAATGCTAGGGCTAGGAGCAATAGTAATTTATTACAGCTGCAAGCTAGCAGCAACCTGAGAGCAAGGAGGAATGATTTCCAATTATATCTGAGTGTCTGAGTGACCAGGTTTCCTAGAGTGGGGGACAGTTTACCTACCGCCACTTGTTCAGATCAAAGTAGAGTCCTAAGTCAGATGTACACTGCAGAGTATTTTCAGCACAGCAATGAAAAAAACACTCACGCCCAGCCAAAATAGCTATGCTAGCAAAAACCCCAGTGTTTAGGTAGCTATGCCAATGTATGAGTGCTTTTATTGGCATAGCTAATGTGATTTGGGGAGATGGTGATACTATAATGGGAGAAATCCTCCCTCTGTCAGCATACACCGTGTACATGAGGGGGCACTGAGCAGCATAGACAAGACCTAAGTGTAAGGGAGTTGAATTTACTCTGCAGGAGTATAACTTACATATTTCATCTGACTTTGGCCTTCGGTTTCCCTATGTTGAGCCTAAAGGTGAACTGCAGTATTAAAAGTCAGCATCTCTCGTTAAGAAAATCACTCTGTTGTGGAAATGCTTTAGGTAGCAATTCTATAGATAAAGAGGATGTATCTGAATTATTCCTAGGGGGATAGGATTTTCAAAGGATCCTACCAGAGTAAAGCACCCAGATCCCATTGCATTCCAGTGGGGGCTGGATGACTAACTTTCTTTGAAAATCCCAGCCATGGTTTAGTATTCATCTCTTAAGGCATGTCTACATTACATGAAAGGTCAACACTGCCCCAGTCGATCTTCCAAGTTTCAATTTAGTGGGCGTAGTATAGATAGATCCACAGATCAAATGCAAAGGGCACCCTTGTCAGCACTGGTACTCCTACTCCTTGCAAGGAGTAAGTGTCAACCTCCCATTGTGTGAATGGGGATTTACGATATGTCAATTCCAGCTACGTAATTTATGTAGCTGGAGTTGCGTATCTTACTTTGACCTTTCCTTGTAGTGTAGACCAGGCCTTACTGATCATGAAGGTTTCTGACTTTGAAAACCATTTCTACTGCCAGTGTGATGGGGGAAAGGTGGGAGATTGAATAAAGCATGTAAAAGACTTTGACTCTATTCCCTACAATGGTCTAAAAAAGGCCAAATTTTTTGTAGTAGCACAATAATGATTACTTAATGGATTCTCACAACTGGTTTGCTTTCCATTTAAAATAATTGGTTCATAGCTACCACAAAGTGAACAGCAGGTAGGAAATGAGGCTGCAGTTGCCAAAACATAATAGATCATTTTCTTATTCTCTCAAGGCTTTAACATTTGTTTTTTCAATAATGTATAAAAGGCCTGATTCAGATCTGATTTGTGTCAAGATAAATCTATAGGTACCCTCACTGAAATTAATTAAATTACACCAGTGCAAGATCAGAATTAGGCTCACATAAAATAGCTATTCAAAAATAGATGGAACCAAAATGTAATACAATAAACCACAGTAGCCAGACCTGCTGGTTTAATTGAAGGAATTAATTATAGTTCAATTATTTTCATATACCTTCTTTTTTTTCCCTTTTTTAAAAATCATTTGATAATGCTATGTCTCAGGCTTAAAAGTCTAGAGGACATGATCAATTAGGAAAACTGGTACTCCATGCTTCTTTCTATGCAGGCTAAAAAAAATATAACACATTATTTGAACAGAGGTGGTAATTTCAGATGAATGAATTATATCAGAAATTTACCTCTAATCACCATCTTACCTTACAGTGTTATAGGTAGAACAAAAAACAGGACTATGTAGCACTTTAAAGACTAAGAAGATGGTTTATTAGGTGATGAGCTTTCGTGGGCCAGACCCACTTCCTCAGATCAAATAGTGGAAGAAAATTGTCACAACCATATATACCAAAGGATACAATTTAAAAAAATTAACACATATGAAAAGGACAAATCTGAAATTTGATTTGTCCTTTTCATATGTGTTAATTTTTTTTAATTGTATCCTTTGGTACATATGGTTGTGACAATTTTCTTCCACTATTTGATCTGAGGAAGTGGGTCTGGCCCACGAAAGCTCATCACCTAATAAACCATCTTCTTAGTCTTTAAAGTGCTACATAGTCCTGTTTTTTGTTCCAGCTACACCAGACTAACATGGCTACATTTCTATCAGTGTTATAGGTAGAAATCAGAATAGGAACTATCTATCTTTTTTCAGACCATATTTTATTTAAGAAGGGGAGGAAGGGAAGCCAGGAGATGTTTTGATGTCTTTGTGGTGCCCCTAGCAAGAAACTGGACTGTGCTCTTACCAATAAAGCTGAACACTTCTGTAGCTCTCCTACTGATTCTATTTTTTCTGCAGAAAGCCCTTCTTTTGACCTAATTTTTCCTCGTCCATTCCCTCTCTCCTTTCTTCTTTCTAGTTCAATCAAGGCTATCTCGCTTTCCTGCTCTACCAAAGAAAATCACGACTCTCTAAATCCTTTTTTCTTTACTAGAAGTACTGATAAATGAATTGGTGTTCAAACCACCGAAAGCCCTCACATACTGGAGAGTGGACATAATTTAACCATTAAACTTCAGGGATGAAAATTTGGCTCCATTGAAATCAATGACAAAATATAGGTGTGTTTCCGTGCAGCTGAGATTTCTGTATGGAGTTTTGCTGATCAGATGCCTCTACATTGCCACAGAAATGTGCTTCTTGGCAGCTGTTTGCCCACACTTTTCCTCTCCATCCTTTATCATTTTAGTACTTTTTGTTGCCAATGTTTAAAGGACCAAGTCATGCTAGAGCTACCCATTTCTAGAAGATTTGCATCCTTTAGTACAATTCCAATCTAAGCTATGTTCTCCTGTCAGCTTCTGTCAAATTTTGAATGTCTTCTGACATTCAAATTGACATGGTGGTGTATGTTTGGACAGTCTCTGAAATTTATTTCTTCTAACAGAAATATACTGAATCAAAAGAATGATAGAAAACTTAGATGGGGGGAAGAGAGAATTATCCATTTCTAGGTAGCAGTTAAAACCCTAACATGATGAATGAATGTCTAAAAACAAGCTTCAAAATAGGAAATTTAAAGGGAAAATTATACAAATAATTGGCAAAATCATCTGGAAAAAAATGAGCCTTCTATTACTTGATAAAATACTATTCAACTTTATTTGGTCATATTTTAAGTGTAAGGATACACTTATAAATAGTTGATAAAAGTTTAATAAATGATTAACAGGTATGTTATTAAATGATTAATTGTTACAAATTTTGATAAACCAATAATTGCTTACAGAAATAGCTTTTATCTAGAACTGGTCAGAAATTTTGACTTTTCTGTGAAAAAATCAAATATGAAAACTTACAAAAAATGAAACTCTTCATCTGGAAACTGAAAATTTTCACTCAAAACCTTTTTATTCAGAAATGCTACAGCAGTTGTAGTCCGGATTCTGCATGCTTTGTATTTCTTTATAGTGAGGACTCCTTGGATATGTCTACATTACAGAATTTTTTTGGAAAAATGATGTTTTTCTGAAAAAACTTCAATTACGTTCACACTGCAGTCGTGTTCTTTTGAAAGAAAATTGAAAGAGCAGAGGGGGTTTTCTGACATTAGTAAACCTCTTTCTACAAGGAAGATGCCATTTTCCAAAAGAGCTCTTTCGGAAAAAGGCGTGTGCAGACAGGAAAGAGGG